GGAGGCCCCACTGCTGAACTACATCCACAATCCCTTTATTTTTTGAGACTGGGTCTCAATAAATTGCCTAGGTGGGACCAGAGTTTGTGATCCTCCTGCCTCAGCCAGAGTGTGAGGATGACAGGCCTGTGCCACCACCTCCAGCTTAAGTCTTCATCTTCTGAGGGAACCAGGACCAGTAAGGCCATTTTGTTGTGTTTTTTCGAACTTATGACCTGCTGCCAGGCGCTTATGGTGCCGAGCTAAATCCCCAGCCTCAGTAAGGCCATTATGAAAGACTTTCATATAAACAAACACACGAAGAATGGTAACAAGAAATGACAGCAGCCTGGGGTTCAGAAGGTGAGGCAGCAGATTTTTCATCTGTTTGAATACTCAAGAATTCACACCTTTAAATGACTTGACAGCTAAGAACTTTTGTCTTCAGCAACAACCCTTTTTTCACTCCTTCCTGAACTCACCTTCTAGAACATCAGAAAAAGGTCCACAGGAGAAAATGCTTCGCTATTTTCTATCAATAGATGGGACACAGAACCACTTTTTTGTTTGTTTCAGATAGGGTCCAGCTCAGTAGCTCAGGGTGGCCTTGAACTCACTATGTATTCTGGGCTTATTGAAACCCCAATATTATAATCCCAATTGTAATTCCTTATAATATTGTAATCCAAGTGTTATACAATATTTGTGACCCAAATATTGTAATCCTTTTTCCAGTTCATCTTGTAATCCAGAAAGTTATATTTGTAATCTCATAGAAACATTATTGGAATCCTAGCGAGTTCCTTCCAATCTACCACCTCCAATGTAACCCACAGCGAGAGTAAAGGCACCAAGACATACTCAAAATTATGGGCATCCAAGGGTCCTAAGCCTGATCCAAGTGAGGATACATGCACCAAGGCCCTCTTCCAGATTTACTATCTTGTGAAGAAGGGGGTGGCTTGAGGATGAATAACAGGGAGGATGGCAGTAATCACATGAGTAACTTGAGCTGGCCAGTCAGGTAGGGAGAAAAGCAGCTTTGCAATATGCAGGAAGAATGATATGCAGAAGGATCAGTCTGCATAATTCAATGAGGGTAGCATTTAAATGGTTTTAGGAGGCTGTTGCGTTAGTTTATGATGTGTAAAACTGTGTGCCCTGGGGGGTCACAGCCTCTTACTTTGAGGCTGTACCCAGCTGACATTACTGGAGCTGAGCGACTCTGCACTCAACCCTTTACAGAGAGTGCTACAGGAGGAAACAGAAAAGTGCCAGATTAGATTCAAGGATTGCATATTAGTACCTTAGCTAGTCTTATTTGTATTGCTTAAAGCCAATTCAAGGGAGAAGGAAATAGCATCAGTATATGGAAATAAGACTTGACTTAACTAATGTTGCAACCATTGTTCTACATCCAAGGAGAGATGCCTCGCCTGGCTTCTACACAGACTGATCTCCAGCTCACAGTGATCCTCCTGCCTCAACCTCCCAAGCGCTGAGATCAGAGGCTGATCATGCCTGCACACGGACACAGTAATGCCTGCCTTTTTTTTTTTTTTTTTTTTTTTACCAAATTTGATAACGAGAGACCTTTTTGCTATTACAGGGAAAAAAAGAACAAACCTGTAAAAGTCATTAAAACCTACATAATGTACACTTATGATTAGTCTACAATTTCTCAGCCCTAGACCACACAACCAGGGAAGAGTTCTCACTTAAATATAAAAGGGTGCTGGGTGTGGTGGCTCAGGCGTCATCTCAGCACTAGGGAGGCTGAGGCAGTGAGACTGTCAGTTTAAGACTAGCTCAGCAATTTAACAAGTTCAAGGCCAGCCTGGACTGCTGCTTCGGAAAGAACTCACGCAAGGTGGGTGCTGCACCACTGCCAAGCTACATGTCCAGTGTCACCTTCCTAAGTGGCAAGCCCAACCCAGAAGTTGTACTGCCTCTAGTGTCTAGATGGGGCATCTGCCTGTAACCCCATAACTCTGGGAACCTGGGGCAGGAGGTTCACAAGTTTAAGCCCACCCTGGGCATGCTGATTTAGTGAGACCCTGTCTCAAACTACAAGATAAAGTAGTCTGGAGACACAGTTGGCTGGGAAGGTCTGGGTTTGATCCTCAGCCATCATATGAACAAAATGAGGAGGCCTGGCATCACCACTACAGTCTTTGGGGCATCCATACCCGGAAAAACCCCATCTTCTCGGCAGTCTTCTGGGCAGTGAGGGACATGTCAGTACGCATGCTCCAAACACGAAGAGGAAGGTTGGGTCAGGATGAGTCGGGAACCTGCATCTCCACTGCCTTCTCTTCCTAGCTCTCCAGCCTGTCCTCAACACTAACTTCTATGACACATGATCAAAGCCTCAGGGCCCGGTGCACCTCCCCCTCCCTGCTTACAGAAAGACTGGGCAGCTACAGGGTGTGCTTCCAGGGCACAGAGGCTGCTCACCTAACCAAACAGGGTGCCATTAACACCTGCAGCGCTGGGTGCTCACCTCTGATAACCCTGAACCCCAGGAACAGGATTGGGGATGTGCAGAGTGGATGGGGGAGGGGAAGAAAGGTTCTGACCCATTCAAAGGTTTTGCCAGAGAGTTTTAAGACCCCACACCTACCCTGGACTCAAATACACACATTCCCTTCAGGCCAGGTGAGATGGTGCAAGCCTGTAATCGAAGCACTTGGGAGGCTGCGACAGGAAAACAGCTGTGTGTGTGAGGCCAGCCTGAACTGCAGTGAGACCCTGCCTCAATACAAATTCCTTTAAGCAAATTTCTCTTCCCGTCTCTGCTCAGTGGTTCAGCCTGCAAGGGGTTACTGACCATGCGAAGTTAAGTGGATGTGGAGGGAATGAGGAGGGCTTGGACTTCCCCAGCCAGAGTGACTTATTCCAAAAGCTCTTTCAGAGAAGCTGATGGTCCCTGGAAGCAAGCCAGGTAGCCAATCTGTCAAAACTGTCTCTCCAGACCCTGACTTTATGGACACTAAACCCAACCTCAAGGATATGTTTACTTAAATACAATCATCACATTTTTTTTTTTTTTTTTGTAGTACTGGGGATTGAACCCAGGGCCTCTGCACTGAGCTACATCCTCAGCCCTTTTTTGGGGAGTGGGGAGCAGAAATCAAACTCAGGACCTCACACTTGCCAAGCAATTGCTGTGCCACAGAGCTATATCCCTGGCCTCAGCCCTTTTTTATTCTGAGATGGAATCTTGCTGTTAAATTGTCCAGGCAGGGCTCAAAGTTGCTATCCTCCTGCCTCAGCCTCCCACAGCTGGTATCACAGGTATGCACCACCATTCTCTGCACAGTCATTACTTTTCACCAGATGCCAGGACCTGGAAAGGCAAGGAGTGTCCTATGGTGCTCTATAAATTCATGGTGGTTAGAAATACAGGAATTAGCCAGGCATGGTGGCTTACACCTAGAATCACAGAGCTTGATTCAAGACCAGCTTGGACTACATAGAGAGTTCTAGGCCAGCCTAAACTATAAAGTGAGATCCTGTCTTAAAAGAAGAGAAGAGAAGAGAAGAGAAGAGAAGAGAAGAGCAGAGAAGAGATGAGACCTTGGGCACATCGCAGCACCGCAGACCTACACAATCCAAGTCTAACTTACACTCAAATCGGGCCCCAGGCAACTCCCATGCTAACTGTAAAAGGCTCAGGGCTGGAGCGGCAAGGGTGTCAGGTCAGCTTGCCTGCCTGGCAGAGGTGGGGTACACGGACTCCAAAGAAGAATTCTCCACCTTGCGGAACTAAGGAGGGCCAGGCTCACCGACTTGGACACGAGCAAGCTGGGTGGCCCAGGCTATGGATAGTGTCCGGTGCTCTCTCCAAGGACATTCAACAAAGGCTGGAACCCAGCTCCTAGCGCTGCCGCAGAAGCCCCATCTTCTTCTTCCCCACCAAAGACCTCCAAAGGGAAGGTTTCTCGTGGGCTGCCAAATCCCCCACCCTCCAGCCAAATCGAGAGCTGCCCACACAGGTAGCCTGGTTATGATACACTTGCTCTCGTTCGCGCCCCCCCCCCCCCCAACAACAAAGGGAGCAGCCAGAGGGCTATCCCAGCTTTCAGGGGCTTCCTCCCCGCCCAGCCTGAACAGCAGCTTCACAGCTTCACTTGAAAAACACCTAATTGTCAGAAAAAGACAAAGGGAACAACACGGGCTGGGAAGGCCGTGCAAGAAGAAAAGCAATAGAATTAAGAGTGGCAAGTCAGATTCCTGGCAACTTTTCCTTGGGTCATTTCTAGTAAAAGTACCGGGTCTAGGAAAGCGATGTGACAACGCAGACGGCTACGTGCTCAAGCTTTGGGGCCTCAGAGCCCTGTGTCGTGGAGTACGAGGCACTCGTGCTGAAGCGCTGGGCCGCCCATGCGGCCGTCCCTGCCGGTCTGGCCGTCGCCGCCGGAGGCCGGGCCGCGGGCTGGGGCGGCGCGAGGTCGGAGCGCAGCGGCGCGCCACGAGGATTTCATCATACACACGGGCGCCGCGCCCCCACCGCGCCAGCTCGGCTTCCTTTTCCTCGGCCACGCCAGAGCGGCCACACGGCGCTGCTGCCCTGGCCAGACGGACGCATTTCTCCGCAGGGGACTCCACGCGCGTAAAGGCTGCACGCGTCACAGCTACTGGGGAACGTGGCCGGAGCAGAAACTTGGTCCCCAGGCTCTGTCCCACGCGAAACCAGGGGTCCCTCTGAGAGGAGGAAGGACCCTGGCAGGGGGCATCATTTGAGACGGAGACTGCCCGCGGCAGGCAAACTCCAGGCCTGGCCTTCCCCAGAGAACGGGCCGCCGACCCTGGCTCGCGCGCGGGTTTGTGCGCGCGAGGCCACGCCGCTGTATCTAACCATGGAAGGTGCAGCCCAGGCTCGAGACCGCGTGGCCCCGCAGGCGGCAGACGCCCGGGCGGCCACCCGCGCCCCTCGCAGCCTCCGCACACCTCCTGGCCGCTGCTGCCAGCTGCGACGCACGGATCGCCCAGACCCCTGACCCCGGACCCCCGCCTACCTCCCGGGGTGGTGCTGAAGAGCGTGCCGCCGGGGGTCGTGCTGTAGTCCCCGGGCGGCAGCTGCACGCCGTCGCCGAGGACCACCCTGCGCGTGGCGGGGATGGCCCGGCTCGGGGTTTGACTGCAGCTGCTGCCCCCAGACATGTTTAGCTGCTCACCACCCGAGCCTCCCGCCGGCCCCACCCCTTCCGCCCCGCGCCCCGGGACGTGCTGGACGCGCCGCCCCGCCCACACGAGCCCCCCCAGACACGCCCCGCCCCTTCGGGTCCAGCCCCGCCCCCGCGCGCGTGGCCCCGCCCCTCCGCGCACGTGGGCCCCGCCTCCGGCTCCCTGTGCCTGCTGTCCCCGAGCGCTGGGGCGGCGGGCGAGGCTGCGGGGCTTTGTTGCTGCGGCTCGGAGAGGTGAGCCCCTCTTTGGCAGGAGTCCCAGCCGAGGGGACCCTCGAGCCTCCCCCGTACTGTGCCTTAGGGCCCCTGTCGTGTGTCCTCTCTTTTCGCGACGTGACCAGCGGCTGGGAAACGACCGGGAGTGCTGCTCCGGGCCTCGGAGGCGCAAGGGATGGCGGTGGCCCCTGAAGCGGGCACGCCCGAGTGTGGCCGGCCTCGGCAGGTCCCCCGGTGGAAGGAACGTGCGGACAGCATACCTGATGGTTTGGAAACGTGTACACCGGGTGTCCGCGTCTTTCCGTGGGAGAGGAGAAAATAATCAGAAAGGGAAGTTGCCGTCAGATTGTTAAAAGGATCTTTCAAAAGTAGGAGACAGATTTTCTTTTCCTTTTTGGCGGACTCAGGGCTTAGCCCGTACTCGGCAGAGAGTTTCACATTGAGCAATCGCCCCAAACCATGGAATATTTTTTTTGGCGGCAGTGGTGGTGCGAAGGGGTTGGGGGACTGAAGATGGAACCCAAGACTTTTACCCAGAGTTACTTGTCCGCCTCCCTCCCCCTTTTTTTAAATTGAAGTTTAAGCCAAGCTGGAACTTGCAGTCCTGCCTCAGCCTCCTAGAGTATTAGGTACATTGAATGTTGGGCTGGAAATAATCTCCGTAGTGGAGTGCTTGTTTGGCATACACCAGGCCCAAGGTCCAATCCCCAGCACTGTGAAATCTGTATTTCTGTCGGACAGCGCTGCTCTGTGAATGGAGTATGTAAAACCAGTCCAAAAGCTCTCAGATCCTTTCTCCTGCTAGTGGGGCGCACCCAGCTGAGGTCCAGGAAAATGGAACAGTACATCATTGGTTATTCACCCAATTTTATTAAAAAATAAAAACAGGGGGGCTGGGGATTTAGCTCAGCGGCATAAAGCCTGCCTTGCAAGCAGGCAGTCGTGAGTTCAATCCCCAGTACCGATAAAAAAAGAAAAAGACAAAAATAAATAAATAAATAAATAAATAAATAAAAACAGGGCCATGGGTTTAGCTCAGTAGCATAAGTGCCTGCCTGGCAAGTGCAAGATCATGAGTTCCATCCCCAGTTCAAAACAAAAAACAAAAAAACCAAAAAAAACAGCAGAAACTGAAGTCCAGACAGGAGTAAGGTTTGAGTAAGAATGCATAATTTAAATAGCAGAGGCAGGACAGGAATCCAGGGTCCTTAGGCCAGCCCTTTCTCATTAGGAAAAACAAAGTGATCCCTTCTCCAAGCTCTGGGCATGACCGAACCCAGCCTGGATTGCATAGTTGTCTCAAAAGGAAACACCAAGTAAATATGTAAAGAAAAGGGGCTGAGAAGGAGGCTGAGACAGGAGTATCATCGAAAGTCTGAGGCCGGCCTGTGCTCTATAATGACTTCAAGGTTTGTCTGAACTGTATATGGAGACCTATCTCAAAACAAGAATGGCAAAAACAGAGCTGGGAGTGGAGTAGACTGGGGACCTCTTGGCCGCCCTCTAAAAGACAGACAGCCCCTCACACAAACACAGCTGCTCCCTCCAAAGGATAACACTTTTCCAGCTGGCTGCCAGCTAGAAGATGGGCTATAGCAGGGACCAACTGGTGAGGTTAAGGGTATGTTTGCACAAGTCGCCTGTTGCTTCCAAGAAATGGCTCCATCAGATGTCACGTCTGTTAGACAAAGGGGTGGAGTCTCTGAAAACTCTGAGCAGTAACTTTTTAATGACTGTGTGTCCGTGTGTGTGTGTGTGTGTGTGTGTGTGTGTGTGTGTGTGTTGTCGTCCTCTTTGTATTAGGTACTGGATATTCTACCACTGAGCTGCATATTTCTAGGCTTTTTTATTTGAAGACAGGCTCTTGCTGAGTTACCCAGATTGGGCTCAAACTTGTGACCCTCCAGCCTCAGGCTCCCAGACTACTGAGGTTGGTTTCTGTAGAGGTTGTTTATACAGGGCTGTTTGGTCACCATGTCTCCTAGTAAACATAACTGCAAGAAGTCCCAACTGTCTTTTATTGCTTTGGTCTTTCTCTTCCTCTGTTTTTTTGTTTGTTTGTTTTTGCTTTGAGATGGATTCTCATGATGCAGTTTGGGCTGGTCTTGAACTCATTATGTGACCCAGGCTGGCCTCAAGCTCCTAGGAATCCTCTGATCTCAGCCTCCTCAGTGCTGGGATTCCAGGTGACTACCACCTCACCCCACTTGCCTTGTTCTTTCAAAGACCTGGCCCCTTCCAAAACTATGAGGCCCTATCTGATAACCATCTCATTAGTGTACCAAAGGCACACTTCTCACTGAGAGGAACTCAAGGGCTTAAGCAAGCTGTCCATCAGGAAATGGGAGAAAGATGTGTGCATTTCACGCTCTCTATGGAGTTGCAGAGGGGCAGGGACCACATGACTCCTGGGCATGCACCTACCCTAGAGAAGGCATTGTTGATCCCTGGGTGCCGCTGCTACAATTGCAAACCGTATTTATTTTTTTCTTATCAAGGAACTTTGAAAAAACCTATTTTGATTTCATTTATTGTGATTGTAATTCTTGGGGTAAAACAAACAACAGACACACACACACACACAAAACCAGGCTGGGTGTGGGGGTGAATGCCTGTAATCTTAGCACCTAGGAAAGCTGAGGAAGAATGGAGGAAGATTTGAACCCAGTTTGAGAATTCAGTGTTCATCTCAACGCAGTTTTGCTCTGCTGAACAAACGTGAGACAGAGTGCCACTCTGGGTCCCAAGAATCTGGGTACAGTGATAAAGGAAAGATTGCAGGTTGTGCTTGGCATCACTAAAAATTCTACTTAAATCTTTGAGCCCTGGGGTCTTCACCCCAGGAGTCTTTCCCCTTAGCTTCTCCTTTTGTGTGTCTTTGGATTGCTTTGGGAGGGCAGCCAGTCACCTGCAAGACCACAAGACTGCAAGACTGAGGCACTCTGAGAGGGTTGAGATATCCACCCTCTGTCCTCCTGCCTGTGTGTACAGGAGAAAGGGGTGAGGTGAAAGTAAAGTCCATCACCAGTGGGCAGGTGTGCCCACAGCTATGCTAGCCCAGAGAGGTGGAACGTGTCTTCAGCCCCAGCACTTCAGAAGCTGAGCAGGAGGATCTTAAGTTTGAGGCCAAAGAGGCTACCTAGTAAGATGGCCACAAAAACAACAGCGAGAACAAAATGAAGCAAAACAAAAAATCATATATATGTAAGGAAGCATTCGAAGAGGTATCCCTAAGTGTGGAGAGAGCCTATAGTAACTAACTGGCTGGGGAGGAGCTGGAGGCTGAGTGAAGGGGCCTGAGGGGGCCCTTGAAGGTGTGTGTTCTTAGATGTGCCCACTTCCCCACTGGCCACGTCCTCTGGTCTTTGGTGGCTATGCAACAAGGGACTCTGGATTTCCTGGGGCTGAGGAATTGCCCAGCTACCAGGACTCAGGTGACTCAGATGCCCCCGGGTGTGGCCGGGAACAATGGGCTTCCCCAATGCTCCTGTCCCTGGACTTCTGGCTCTTAATCCTCCTGGGCCTGTGTTTTCTTCCTGTGTCATTTGCCCTGAATGGTTTGCTGGTGTCCCAAGAAGTTGCTTTCAGGAGTGAATTCTGAAGGCAATGTCTGATCTGTTGAATTAAGAAGATGCGATTGTGCAGCAGCAGAATTTCAAACTTTCAGGGACTCTGCCCTCCTTTCTCAGGGCAACTCAGTGGAAAACAAGTGGAGAGTGGTCACCCTCATTCCCGCTCAGTTCTTAGGACTAGATCCACCGGTTTCCGTTTAAAGATGTTTCCAAAAGTACGGCTTTACAAAAGTATTGGCACTTAAATGTTGAGTATCTGAAGAAACACAGCAATGTCTTCAACATCTTCAGTGTCAGTCAGTGTTTAATTTGATACAAATAATACTGTGTATAATGAGGTGAGGTGCTTACACATTCAAAACCAAGGGATTCCGAGAGAAGGCATGAAGTATTCTTAGACTGCCTAGACTATACATCTAAAAGCTACAGAGAAAATACAATAAGCCCACAGTGCATTGTCACTAATTGTTTAGTTTTTTGACTGGAGCTCTTAGGAAAAGTTATGTCACAGTTGACAGGTTGACGCACAGTTCTAGAAAAAGTAGGTATTAAAGTGGATGTGACCCCTTAATTACTTCTACATTGATTTCCTACAACAGGGCTGCTTCACAGCTGTTACTTATTACTGTGGCCCAAGCACAGCTTCCCATCACCTGTAACTTCCTTCTGCTCTGGCACAAGGTCCGAGACACCGATTCATGCCTCACGTGCTACAGCCTGACTGCCTAAGTGTTAGGTCAGACGTAATGGGGAACGACGACTCTTTGTGGCGCTCACTTTCTTATTCTCATTTAAAAGCCCTATTTTGCTAATTATCGAGATTTCACATTCTATGATGTGTCCCCATCATGGACTGGAGAGGTGCACTGCGGGGACTTAGAGTGTAGAGGACTTGTGGTCCTCTTATACATTGAGCAGCTGCAGGCAGGACATTCCCTCATGGCAAGCACATAGCCGAGTCCTTGGTGAGAACTGCTGCATACAGTGAGGTCCTGACAGCCACGTGGAGGATGCCAAAGGGCACCAAGGAGGCCTGGCAGGCCTGGTGGTCCTGGCCAGAGCTCCTTGGTCCTTGTCCATCCTGGGCAGGGCCCACGAGCTCTATGGTGCATCTGCCCTGTCTCTCTATCCCTCTTTCCCTCTCTCTGCTGCATGCAGCCCCTGGCCAAGGCTGATGAAAACCTTAATGCTGAGTCTTTGGGCCAGCATTCAGTCCCTTTGTTCTCACTGGCAGTGGAACCA